ATCTTTTGTGCGACAGTGGTTACTGGTCTCTAATTTGGATCACTGTATTTTCCACAAAATAAAGGTTTTTGTTGAAATGCCTCGGTTATTTTGTCAAACGTGTTAGTATAACAGTGGTATACCCACAGTTAATATTCCTCCTTATTTTGAGCAATGAAGATTAACAGCATTTTAGGGAAAAAAAATCAAGAATTTATAGAGTGTTCTCTAATGTTGCTCTCCACTGTACAAACAGGTTTTCCTGCAATTCATCTGTCCATTTACTTTCCTTGCACCCCTCGCTCATATCCTAAAGGGGTAGAGCTAAAACAAGGAAAAGCAGCAAGGAAAGGAACAGAATGCACAAGTAATGAAAACACAATTTAATGGATTCATTAAACAGCTGATTCATTCAGGAACAAAGCAAGTGACCAAAGCAAGAGCCACAGAAAGGTTTCCTCCCTCTGAGTAAGGGCCAAGGTGAATTTAGCCCAAAAGTATATCAGAGGACTGGCAAGTATTATAAAGCAGTGAGGGCAGGGTAAAGAAAGAGGTTTCTCAGCTGAAACCCAACCAGTTTGGTCCCATAATTAATGTTGACAGACAAGGCTGTACAAATGGCTTAAAGGCACATTTGCATAGTGTTTTTCCCTTAGCATTTTTGAAAAAGGTTGTCAAGTACTCATGCATGTGTACGGACTAAACGCATATTATAGGTTTTTAAAACGTCATGTTTGTAGTTTGAGAGTAGTATACGTCAAAAGCTCACAAAAGGCCCCCCCAAAATGAAAATTGGTAATTTCATAAACTGGATCTTTAGGATACTTGGGCATGAAAGGGTATTCCACAGCTGGGAGGCATATAAGACTCGAGTAACAGTGGGAATATTGGATGCTGCTCAGACTGGTATGGGGCAGGTGTAGTTGTGATCGTTGCAGGAATGGTCACTTCAATTTGGCTTTGGAAGCCATTCATATAAAGGAGGGAAGTTTGGGTATCAGGGATGTGGAGGTTGTTGTGGTGCTGGGGGAGCAGCTGGGTCACCTCTAGAGTAAAAGTATGGATCAAACACTGGCCTGGGATATATCTGAGGGAACATGTGTTGCTGGAAAGGATATTGAAAAGGTGGAGCTATAGCTGGCACAGTGGGAGGCAGGGTAGCAGGTACACCAGGATAATATGGAGGATACCACCAGGTTCTTCCAAAAGGGAAAGGGTCAAACATCTGTTGCATGTCTGGGTCAGCAGGCATGGTTGGGGCTATCGTTGGCCGTGTCAGAGGACAGGAAAGAGTGACCTCCTGGTCACAAAGGGAGTCGCATTTCAGTGTCCTGAGGAAGACATGAACATCAATTAGTGTAAACCTAGTATAACTAGACATGCTATGAATGACAGTCCCGTCAAATGCACTTTTACCATCATTAGCCAACAGCTTCCTGTGAATGGTGCAGTGACAACCACTGAACCATCAGTAATCTCCAATGTGAAGGAGCATTAAGTGTACATTAGAAGCAGAGGCTGCCATAATCCATCAACTAAAAGCAGAAAACAAGTCAAGCTTAAGGTCCTTTCAGCTTTTTGATTGAATGCAAATTAGTGGACTTGCCTAGAACTTTAACATCTGCTCTGACCTCAAGTGTGGCAATCATGCCAGTGGAGAGGCAGGACACTGTAGGGAGTAGAGGACTAACAGAACAAGACATTCGCACTGGAGCTCCCATTATAATGAGCGGCAGAATATATCTTCCACCCTTTTAGGAGATGAAAAATAAATGAAACTCATGCAAGAGATCACATGGTTGAAGCATTACTCTGCACTTAACACCTTTATCATAACTAACCTGTTTTTTGACATGACAGCCCCGGTATGGAGCAACAAGAGACATCCCTGTGTGCTCGCTTCAGTGAGAAACCACAGTTGGCTGGAATCTCAGACAAAGGCATTGGAGACCCCTCTCCTGACAGTCAAGTTAGGTCTATAAAAAAAAATATATAATAATAATAATAATAATAATAATAAATAAAAATAAAATGCATGCAACAAACCACAACTCACCTCGGTCAACCAGAAAGTGTGGCATTCTCAACCCTGGAATGCACAAGATCATTGCTACACTTCACAGAAGAGCCCAGACGTTGCAGTTTAGCAGGGAGAAACCGCGCTTAAAGAAAGCAATCAAGTTGACACACTACACACACACACGATCTCAAGTTACCTTCCTCATTTGACTGGTGCCCATCAAACTCTGACCTCAACATGTTTGATGTTGACCACCAACTAAAAGTTTGCCAAAACTGACTTTTTTCAGAGACCGCTCCATAAGCAGCACCTGCTTCAGAAAAGGCCTCAGGATCAGCCCTGAAAGAAGAGCTCAGTGTCATCACAGACATTGTGAAAAGTAAGAGGTCTATTGTCCAAGGCTTGGTGAGTTCTCAAACGAATACCAAGAAATTCACAATTATTGGGGGAAAACCTTAACTCTACAGCTTAACACGCTTATTGAGACATATTGTCGTATTTGTACTCACTTTTAAATCACTCGGTGATATTGGACAACCAATCAAATCTGTTCATCAGTCAGCTTGTTATTTTCACCTGTGCCTCATTATGCTGAGAGTTAAAACAGGGGTTGAATTTGAAATAGTACACTAGCATATGACTCCAGAGCAGTATGCGAGTGTGCTATTTGAGTTTCAGCTAAGATACAGAACATTTATGGTGTCTTTATTGATAGGACTGGGACTGGGGGTGTGGGGGTGGCACAGTGACTTGGTGGTTAGCACTGTGGTCTCACAGCAAGAAGGTCCCCGATTCGAGCTCCAGCAGGGACAGGAGGCCTTTCTGTGGGGTTTGCATGTTTTCCCTGTGTTTACGCTGGGTACTCCGGTTTCCTCCCACAGCCCAAAGACATGCAGGTTAGGTTAACTGAAAACTAAATTGTCCCTGGACGTGTGTGTAATAGCCAGAGGCGAAACAAGATGAAGTGCAAAATTAATAAACGAGGCCCTTCTAAAATATTATTTTGTTAATATATCTTTGTTACCTAGATATATATTTATACAACAAACAAAAAGTAGTTAAAACACATATAATATATAAAATAAATTGTTAATTTTTTTTAAAACAAAGTGCTTATTCTTTAACAAAATATCAATGATCATCTTTATGACAGAAGATACAATACTGTACAGTACAATCTTGAAGATACAGTACAATCTTCATATTTACAGTAACGGATTGTCAACTTAAAAATGGTGCTTACGAACCTTAGCTACAGCAAATGCTGTCACCATGTCCTCCATATCCAAAGACCTTCGTATTATAGCAAAATAGCTCAAAAGGGAAATGTACATAAATAATTACAATTAATTATAATTCATTACAATTATTTACCTCAGCTGCCAGTAGTAACTGTAGCAGAATTAATATTACAATCAACTAATCTGTTCGTCCAGTGAACATTCAGTATAATTTCATATCAACTCTAAGAAAGGATATTTTCGTGGCCACAGAAAATAACTTTCTTACAGTAATGCATTAGAGCAAGTAGCTATAGATCGGATCGTAAAAGGGACACTATTCACAAGCGGCGACAGAACCAGAAACTCAAGTAATTTGTGCACAAAAGTTTTATTAACTAAACACTAACACATAACTAATCTAGACAAAGAAACAAACATACAAATCACTCATTCATGGGGAGGTTGGAAGTGGATGACTGAAACCATTAGAGAAATCAGAGAATGCAGTTATGGAAAAGGAGTCAGTTAACCACCTGAGTGAAACTATCAGTGCCGTTTTATAATGGGGTCTACAGCTTATCCTAAACCTCTGTTTCGTTTAGTTAAATGTACGATACTTGCTTTGCTTTGGCCTTGAACGAGTGTACGGATGCAGTCTCGGATGAAAGTCTTGATGGTTTGGAGGTTCGGTGGTGGAGTCGTCGCGAACACGTTCTTCCACGTTGGAGTGAACTCCAAAAAGATGTTATTCTGACTCTGTGGTGGTCGGGAGAGTTTTCTCCCAGATGGAAAGTGAAGGCATGGCTGTAGTTGAGGCCTGCCAGGCACTGCTGTGCCGGCCCCGGTAGGGTGATGAGAGCAGAGACAAGAGACAAAAGCCAAAAACCCAAAAAGCCCAGCAGGGTCACTGATGTGAGGCCTTATAAGTTCGAAGCAGGTCACACCTCCCAGGATTTGAGTGAGCCAATGAGGAGTGAACCAATGAGGAATACCTTTGGAGGGAAATTTTACCATCCTTTGCCTCTATCATGGTGTTTTGCATATGAAACTCGAATGGGTGTTCAAGAGAAGAAGCTTCAAGATTCTTATAATATTAACGTGTTGCATAGGTATCAACATATAATATAAACTCTCATTTAGATCATGAAAATACGAACTCATAGATACCAAACATGGTATAGGTGAGGTTATATTAACTAGTGATATATCATAAGCATGCATAAAACAGTATACAATACACAAGACCATATACAAAGAGGTAGTAATCATACACAAAGACCTGGGGATATGCTTGATAGGAAAGTCAGAGAAAAATGTGTCTATGAATTAATGAAAGAAGTAATTTCTTATAGCAGAATGTGTCTGTTTTAGAGAGAATTGAGTAGGGAGGAAGATTCTCTCAACATACTTTTAGGTTGTAAAGTTTATCTGATCTGGCTGAGGTGTCCTGGCCTGGAGATCGTTCACAGACGTATAGGCACCGAGTCTCGTGTTGGGTGAGGGATCTGTGATTGTTTGTTAATCTAATGAATAATTGTGTGTCTGATTGGTCCAAATGCTACAGTATGTTCTGTTCAATTGAAATTAGTGCCAGTGCTGACAGCCTCTCTTGGTTCATTGCTGACCTGTGGTATGTTTTTATCAGCTTTACTAGTTTTATTACTTGACAACTAATTATGTTAACTCAACTAATTTAATGTAGAAGAGCTAAATAAATAATGTAAAATAAGTAAATGCAATAATATTTATTTATATTGATTCGTAGGCTCCCCACTGGCAGCAAGACACAGTACCCAGGGATGCAAACTAATCATAGTCAAGTCAAGTCACCTTTATTTATATAGCGCTTTTAACAACACAGATTGTCAAAGCAACTTTACAGAGTTAAATAGGAAAATAGTGTGTCAATAATGCAAAATGACAATAGTAAACACTCAATTTTCAGTTAAAGGCAGTTCATCATTGAATTCAGTGATGTCATCATCCAGCTCAGTTAAGTTTAAATAGTATCTGTGCAATCAAGTCGACGATATCATAATATATAGTATATACATAGTATACATAGTACATAGTATATATCGTAATTTAGATATATTTTTGAGATGGAAAAATGCAGTTTTACAAATGCTAGAAACATGGATTTCACTGATGATATCTCCCAAGGGTAACATGTAAAGCGTGAAGAGTAACAGCCCTAGTACTGAGCCTTGAGGTACTCCATGCTGCACTTGAGATCGATATGATTCCTCTTCATTCACTGCTACGAATTGATGGTGGTCAGATAAGTACGATTAGAACCATGCTAATGCACTTCCACTAATGCCAACAAAGTTTTCTAGTCTATTCAAAAGAATGTTGTAGTCAATAGTGTCGAACGCAGCGCTAAGATCTAATAGCACTAATAGAGAGATACAACCACGATCAGATGATAAGAGCAGGTCATTTGTAACTCTAATGAGAGCAGTCTCAGTACTATGATACGGTCTAAATCCTGACTGGAAATTCTCACAGATACCATTTTTCTCTAAGAAGGAATATAATTGTGAGGATACTACTTTTTCTAGTATCTTGGACAGAAAAGGGAGATTCGAGATCGGTCTGTAATTAACTAGTTCTTTGGGGTCAAGTTGTGTTTTTTTAATGAGAGGCTTAATAACAGCCAGTTTGAAGGTTTTGGGGACATATCCTAATGACAATGACGAATTAATAATAGTCATAAGAGGATCTATAACTTCTGGAAGCACCTCTTTTAGGAGCTTAGATGGAATAGGGTCTAACATACATGACAAAGACGAGCACCCCCCTTCAAAATAAAACCCTACATTTTTTAAACACTTATAATAATTTAAAGCCTTTATTGTTATTTTTTAACTCTGCCAAAAATTCACTTTAAATGTTCACTTTCATTCGTGAAGAAGATGAGGAAAATTGTCTCCTTGTGGAAAACAAAGGTATAAAAGGATAAAAATTACATGAAATTACCATTATATCCAATAGATGGCAGCAGAGGATCACCCATTAGCTCAGTTGCCATTTCAACTCCCTATTTTTTTCCACAGCTTGCTTTTGGATTTATTATTAAAGGAAGTCACAAAGTCTCATGTCATTTAAAAATGAATAAATAAGCCCAACAGACACCAACAGCCTAGTATGATAAAAAAAATTGAAATAACTAGTTAACTACAAGTTAAGTTAATTATTAATGGTATAATAATTAAATAATGCATTAAATATTGTGGCTTTTTTTTTTTAGATTTAATTAAAAAATTACATTTTTCAAACATTGCCTAAAAAGGACACATCAAAGGAGAGCTTTAAGTTATCTTTACCTGTAGAAGCTGCTAAAGGAAACACAGACTTGTTGCTGCTTTAGTTTTGTTACTCTGAATTTACTCTGCATCACTTAAAGGGTTAGTTCACCCAAAAATGAAAATTAGCTTGTTTTACTCACCTTCGAAGTATCCTAGGTGTATATGACTTTATTCTTTCAGACAAATCCAGTCGGAGTTATATTAAAATTTGTCCTGGCTATTTCAAGCTCTATCATATATATACCCTTTAAAGCACAGCTCTGTTTTGACTTCGGCTTGTTAGATCATTCAGATGACAGTTCATTCTGTCAACTGCTACAGCGCAAGATCATTGCTACACTTCACAGAAGAGCCCAGACATGCAGCTTAGCTTTAGCAGGCAGAAACCGCACTTACATCAAACAGATCAAGTTAAGTTATAGTCACCACTTTTTAAAAAAAGAAAAAAATCCCGTTTTAAGTTTTGGATCTCAAATTACCTTCCTCATTTGACTGGTGGCCATCAGACTCCACTGAGCTCAACACAGATGTTTTCACATCACTATGAGATACCGTACTTTGAACACCAATTAAAAGTTTGCCAAAATGGACTGTGTTTTCAGAGACTGCTCCATAAGCTGCACCTGCTTCAGAAAAGGCCTCAGGATCAGCCCTTAAAGAAGTGCCATCACAGCCATTGTGAAAAGTAAGATGAGTTGTCAAATGAGTAGTGATGTTACGTTCGTGTGTCGAGAAATCCCGGCAGCTTTCAGTGAAGCACGTATCGAGGCTTGTATCGCTTTAGACCAGTGACGTCATTAATGACATCCGAAGCCTCACTTGGCGCAGGAAGGGGCTCGAATCTTGTAAATTCACAATCCTCTGCCCTGTTAAACCTAGCCACTTTCCAGTTTTAGACTAATAATATTGCCCCTCCTGCTTATTATAGGCAAAGACTTGATTTACAAGATCATTGCTACACTTCACAGAAGAGCCCAGACATGCAGCTTAGCTTTAGCAGGCAGAAACCGCACTTACATTAAACAGATCAAGTTAAGTTATAGTCACCACTTTTTAAAAAAATCCCATTTTAAGTTTTGGATCTCAAATTACCTTCCTCATTTGACTGGTGGCCATCAGACTCCACTGAGCTCAACACAGATGTTTTCACATCACTATGAGATACCGTACTTTGAACACCAATTAAAAGTTTGCCAAAATGGACTGTGTTTTCAGAGACTGCTCCATAAGCTGCACCTGCTTCAGAAAAGGCCTCAGGATCAGCCCTTAAAGAAGTGCCATCACAGCCATTGTGAAAAGTAAGATGAGTTGTCAAATGAGTAGTGATGTTACGTTCGTGTGTCGAGAAATCCCGGCAGCTTTCAGTGAAGCACGTATCAAGGCTTGTATCGCTTTAGACCAGTGATGTCATTAATGACATCCGAAGCCTCACTTGGCGCAGGAAGGGGTTCGAATCTTGTAAATTCACAATCCTCTGCCCTGTTAAACCTAGCCACTTTCCAGTTTTAGACTAATAATATTGCCCCTCCTGCTTATTATAGGCAAAGACTTGATTTACACATTAATTTCAAGCCAATACGTTTATTACACAGTTATGTTATATTATGTTATGCAATCATTATATACCACTAGAAAATACATATTATATTCATGTAAACAGTCTATGTGGAAATGGATTTTTTCTTCACCTTTATTTCTAAGCCTTAACTGGCACAAAATACAGTGTATCACAGATCACATCAGGTCATCTGTAGTGTATCTGCTTGTTTTACACTCTTTGGCCACCAGGTGGTATTGTGAGCAAATGAAGCCTCGAGAAATGAACCCTTTTGTGAATCACTTGGCTGAAAAGATTCAATGAGTCATGAGGCTTCATCTCTCCATCACTACAAATGAGCACCAAAAAAATTCACAGTTATTGAAAGAACCTTAACTATAAAGGTTGACAAGTTTATGGAAGTATTCTGTGCTATTTGTAATTGCTCAGTGATATTGGTTGACCAATAAAATCTGTTAATCAATCAGCTTGTTGTTTTCACCTGTACCTCATTATGCCGAGACTTAAGACGGGAGCTGAATTTGACTGCAGAGCAGTATGCTGGTATGCTATTTGAAACTCAACCAACATACAGCATACTCAGAACATTTGATGCCTTTATTAATATGAGTCAGTAGGTTACAAAAATATTCTTTATTTATTGTTATGCATTTTGTAAAAACAGGATTCAAAGATTTCATAGTACATGTATTAAACAGATTTATACATGCAGGGAGAGAGCTTTTAAAATGACTAATTACTCCTCTTTAATGTATTCATTACACTCCAGTCTATAAGAATGTAAGAGTCAAATTACTTGAATAGTAAGATTATTGTCTATTTAAAATATGAAGAACTTAAATTTTGCAAATGGAAAGTGCCAAAGTGCTAAACTTCTTAGTGGTTCAAAAACTAGTGACGTCATCTTCACTCACTATGCTGCTGTTGTCATCATCCACAGTGACTCTTGGAATGGCCGTATGTCTCTCCCACACTTTTCTAACAGTCTCTGGAGTTAAGGAAGCCGGGGGCTCAATCACAGACACTTGAGTCTGTTGTATTGCAGTGCCAAGATGCTGAGTGGAGTTAGAACTCAAGCCATTATCTAAAGCCCAGCTATAGACTTTGTTAGTTGGGGAGGAGGGTGATACAACATTATCACAGAGTAGTCCACCTGATCCTTCATTTAGGGTCCAGGAGGGTGCTGAAGGGGTGAAAAGGGTACCAACACCAAGCGAGTGGGCATGATGGAGGGCCTTGTCAATGCTGTGATGGAGGTTGACGGGTGAAGGGGGGTGAAGGTCAAACTCAATAAGTGAAAGAAAGCACTTGTGCTATTTGTAATTGCTCAGTGATATTGGTTGACCAATAAAATCTGTTAATCAATCAGCTTGTTGTTTTCACCTGTACCTCATTATGCCGAGACTTAAGACGGGAGCTGAATTTGAAAGAGCAAACTAGTATATGACTGCAGAGCAGTATGCTGGTATGCTATTTGAAACTCAACCAACATACAGCATACTCAGAACATTTGATGCCTTTATTAATATGAGTCAGTAGGTTACAAAAATATTCTTTATTTATTGTTATGCATTTTGTAAAAACAGGATTCAAAGATTTCATAGTACATGTATTAAACAGATTTATACATGCAGGGAGAGAGCTTTTAAAATGACTAATTACTCCTCTTTAATGTATTCATTACACTCCAGTCTATAAGAATGTAAGAGTCAAATTACTTGAATAGTAAGATTATTGTCTATTTAAAATATGAAGAACTTAAATTTTGCAAATGGAAAGTGCCAAAGTGCTAAACTTCTTAGTGGTTCAAAAACTAGTGACGTCATCTTCACTCACTATGCTGGTGTTGTCATCATCCACAGTGACTCTTGGAATGGCCGTATGTCTCTCCCACACTTTTCTAACAGTCTCTGGAGTTAAGGAAGCCGGGGGCTCAATCACAGACACTTGAGTCTGTTGTATTGCAGTGCCAAGATGCTGAGTTGAGTTAGAACTCAAGCCATTATCTAAAGCCCAGCTATAGACTTTGTTAGTTGGGGAGGAGGGTGATACAACATTATCACAGAGTAGTCCACCTGATCCTTCATTTTGGGTCCAGGAGGGTGCTGAAGGGGTGAAAAGGGTACCAACACCAAGCGAGTGGGCATGATGGAGGGCCTTGTCAATGCTGTGATGGAGGTTGACGGGTGAAGGGGGGTGAAGGTCAAACTCAATAAGTGAAAGAAAGCACTCGCGTTCTTGCCATTCCACACCACTAGTCCACAGAGGAGAGGCGTGATGGTCATAACTGCTGCTGTATAGGACACCTCTGCCAATACTCTCAACGTTGTCATGCACAGTCATTATTGAGGTCGCTGGTGTTGCTTGGTTTTGGATGACCGAATGGCTTACATTTGCACGAGACTGCTTGTGATCTTTCCAGTTATTCGGCAACAGTTCAACCCAGTTCCTATCCGGTCTCCTCCAAGGCCCCATTGGTAACCTGTCCAACAGCCTGTTCCACCGTGACACCGGTTTCCTCTTCCCTGCTCTCTTAGCTGTATCAGATGTAGTCTTTTCACGTCTCTCCTTAACTGAAATTCATAAGAACAATCCATGATTTCCTGACTTCCATGCTCTGTTTTTTTATTTTTCAGAACTGACATTGCAGTGGTTATTCAAAAAACATCACCACTGTTTAACAGAATAAACCACTCAGATAAATACTTACCAGTCTGTAATGGAGGTGTGGCTGCAGGCGGATGGTTGGTGCCATAACGTTCCTCTCCCACTGCGAGATCAAGGAACCCTTGGATGGAGCCAGACTGTGTCACAAAGGCGCCATTGTTTCCCAACATTTCAGGCTTTGTGGTTGAGCTTAAATTCTGTGTGGATGCAACAAACTCTGTATCTTGAGAAGCCTCCATGTCTTCTTTGTTGTTCACCTCTATATCTATATTAAATGTCACTAAATACATATTGACTGGAGACTTTCCTGTACTGTTTGCCTCTGTAATTGGTTTGATGGTTGTCAACAAAGGTTGGTCTTTGTTCAATCTCTCATTGTTATTTATGTGGGTGTGGATGTGTGTAGTCAACTGAACAGCCATTGTGGAAGTAGCTTGATCGGAGGCACTGTTATTATTTGCTAAAATTATATCTTGATCATCTTCATCAATATGCTGGGTTAGTTTAAGTGGAGTTGGAGGGGCAGGGTGAGTGCCTAACTCTTGCATGTCAAAATCTTGTTTCTCTGCTCTGTCTGGAATGAACATGTCCATCTCCAGTAGACCAGTAGAGGGCAGCATGACCTCAAGGCTCTGCTGAAGTCCACTTCCTCCAGATCCCTCATTTGTACTCAAGTTAGGCAGAAGGGGTAAAAGCAGGTCTTTGGTAAATCTGTTGTCATCTCTTTCCTCAATCCAGCTTGTGTTAAGTGATGCAGGTAGAGTTTTTGGAAAGTCACCAATTGCCTGGATGCTCAGGTTGTTGTGGCTTATAGGTTGTGTTAAGTTGGAGCCAAGGGAAGTGACAGGTTGCTGGAGAAGAGGTAGTCCTAATATTAGAGTGAGGAGCCAAACCATTCTGTCCTGTTAATTTCCAAAGGCTGTCGAGTGAAAACAGTGCCAGGAGCTAAATGGTGACAGAACAAGATACACATGGTTTATAAAGACGTTTAGAAGCTATACTTGTGAAAGTAAATAACATTTTCCAAATCAAAACCTGGAAAAATGTACAGCGTATTTAAACAGAATATGAAAATAGTGATAAGTATTGCAAAGATTAAAAGGGAAACATTTTAGGTCCCAAAGCAGGGACTAAAGTAACTATGATCTCCACTATCACTTTTTTCTTTTTGTTACATTTTCACCAGGTGCTTCTTACAGCTTCTGCATTGTATTTATACATAGATTATGAACTGTCAGTTTACATACATTGTCCTGTTTGACAATGCATATAAGTAAATGGATTGTACAATAATTTTTGATTGGTTTGTACAACTTTTTGCATTCTAGCATTTTTGAGTTAACAGCATGCAACTGTTATCAGGCTGTTATCAAAATGATCTTATACCTATGAAATTTCTGCTAGCACAACGTAGTACAACTGTATTAAACTTATAGTTCCAGTAAATTACAGAAAATAAGTGTGCATGCAGCAACATACAAAAATTATTTCTCAAAAAATACTTCTCAGTCAACCCTTTGAACACTTACCTGAAGTTCCTGTGGTCAGCCGTAAAATGAATATCACAGTTCCTTAGAGTATTTCTCAAATATAAATAATTTTTGGTGTACTGCTGGTGCAGTCGTCATTGAATGCTGTCTTCTTAAAACTGCTGTATCTTTGTGCTGACGCTTAGAGTTCAGCCCACCTGACGTTTCACTGTAATCTTTCTGCCATCTGGTTGATGTCCTGCTGGACTTACATCTCTGAGCAGAGTTCTTATCCCCAGTCCAAACAACAAAAGTTCAAATACCCCAGGAGCTTTGAAACGTTAGTGTAAAATGAAATGTGTCAAGTCAGTGTCACAAGATTTGTAGTCTTCAGAAAATATATACATTACTCTTTCAGTTTTGTCCATCTTTTCTGTTCTGGTATATCACAGATGTGTAAAGGTAATCCCTTCAATATAAAGGATTTCAGTAAGACCATTAGTTCTGTAAACAAGTCTGTTCCCCACACTGAAAGCTAATTGAACAAGAAAAATCCCATCGCACAGCTGACGTAATGTGAGAAAAATATTTTTCCGATTCAATACAGAAATTCTGTATTTTCCAAAACCATGTTAGAATAATATCTACTGCTTGCTTGGTTCTAGATACAAACCTGCCATATGGGTTTTAACATGATAGTTACTCACAGCAGAGGCAATATGATGGATTTAACCAGATCTTATTGAATGTATGTCAAATGCTCCCACACACAAAAACCACAGAGACATTAGATTTGACCTCTTTCAGACATTCAAAAAAATTATTGTTATTATATGTTAAAGTAAAAATGGTTAAGTACAAAACAAGTCATGTACAGTATTTGACATAATATTGCATTGAAAAATATATATATATACTGAAGTAAAAATAATTATTGTTTTATAGGTCTTCAAAGAGGTTCTATGCAAATTGTATGCATAAAAATCATATATAAAAATCATGGTTTAAGTTATTAGCTTGAGGTCTTTTTAAGTCATTAGTGTATTTGGTCAGCTCTATTTTAAATGTTGGAGTGATGCTTTCAAAAATCAATTTCAATTATCCGTTTTATGTGTACTGTAGCTCTAATAGGCTGATCCAAATTACAATAAAAATGGTTTCCACAAAAAAAAAGTGCTTTGGCATGTGTTTCAGTTTAACATTAAATCGTAATTTAAAATGTTTATTATTTGGATTGTGTTATTAATAGTTTAATGTGCTGCTATTTGCAATAATGAGCACAAGAAATTACATATTTAGGCTTACTTACTCTTTCAAATACTGATTTTCTGATATTTACAAATGTGATTTGCTGAGATAATTTGACTCCTATTATGCAAATTAGGAAGAGCTATATGTTTATCCAAATTATAGAACAGGGTCATTCTTGGGGTAAGAGAGAGACCGTGGGAATTAACTCTTTCTGAACTCATAACAGTCATATGATTAAGCGATATACAGCATATCTCACCCGGTCCACCTTAAGAGCTCAGTCAGGCAGCTTTTTGCAGGGCGATCAGGGGGAGGCCCTCACAGACACATGCTTAGCGCTTTAAGGCGGACTGGAGCGAATAAAGCTCCGCTTAAAGGCACAAGCACGCTGGAATGCCATATTCAGAATGAATTTATCTCGCTCTGTTACGCACATAATGATACCCAACGTAATTAAAATACATAAAATACATTCGAAAGGATTTTGCTGTCATTCTTTTCTATAGCCTATATTTCTTTAATAACATACTCTCATTAAAAATAAAGTATTTTACATTGAAATCACAAGCAGTTGTTTCACAGAGAGTATGGAAAATAAACGCATGGGCAAATCACATCTAATTTACCTCTTTTTAAAGTACCAAACAGCCTTTTATAATGAGTTTCAACATATTAATGTATAAGTTTACCAACAGCATATAGGTCTGTTCTTTTTGTTCCTGTGAAACCGTTTCATGTAAAATGTCATAGCGAGTGCGCGCACCCGTGCTGTGTTGCCATGTCCGCTAATTATAAGCGGATTTTTCCTGTGGTTCCCAAACCTGTCCTGGAGGGGACCCCTGCCCTGCACATTTTGTATGTCTCCCTAATCAGACACCCAATTAAGTTCTTGCAGTTTCTTCTAACGAGCTGATGAGTGGAATCAGGTGTGTTAGATGAGGGAGACATACAAAAGGTGTGGGGCAGGGGGGCCTCCAGGACAGGTTTGGGAAGCACTGGATTAGACATATGCAGCTGGTTGTATTTTTGGACATATTCCAAATTCCATTCACTTTTGGGCCTGTTGGCATTTGGCCCCTAGGCCTATAGCATGATAAAGTGACCAACCACAAAGTGAATTTATTAAATATCACCAACTCAATAATAATAAATATTCAGCAATTTGATAATCTAAAGATAACCATAAATATAGACTGAAACATGACAATATAATAGTTTAGTTCAGAATTCACTTAAGTATATACTTTACATATTAAAAATGTTGAAAATAATTTCTACCCACTAACTCTAGCACTCTCTTTCCTAATTATATTGGATCTATTTGTTTTCTTTTTTATTTATATATATTAAAATAAAAAAGCAACACCTGAGCCTCTAACTCTTGCACTCTCTATTCTATTTCTATTCTACCTCCTTTTTTTCTTTTTATTATAAAAAACGACCCGCATTCTCTATTATTTTTCTATTCTTTTGACTCGTTTTATTTTTTATTTTTTGAAAAAGACCCTCTAACACTAGCATTGCCTATTCTTTTTTTCTATTCTATCTACTTGTTTTCTTTTTATTTATATACAAAAAATAAATAAATAAGCAACACCTGAGCCTCTAACTCTTGCACTCTCTATTCTATTTCTATTCTACCTCCTTTTTTTCTTTTTATTATAAAAAACGACCCGCATTCTCTATTATTTTTCTATTCTTTTGACTCGTTTTATTTTTTATTTTTTGAAAAAGACCCTCTAACACTAGCATTGCCTATTCTTTTTTTCTATTCTATCTACTTGTTTTCTTTTTATTTATATACAAAAAATAAATAAATAAGCAACACCTGAGCCTCTAACTCTTGCACTCTCTATTCTATTTCTATTCTAACTCCTTTTTTTCTTTTTATAAAAAACGACCGCATTCTCTATTCTTTTTCTATTCTTTGGACTCGTTTTATTTTTAATTTTTTTTAAAAGACCCTCTAACACTAGCATTGCCTATTCTTTTTTTCTATTCTATCTACTTGTTTTCTTTTTATTTATTATATATAAAAAACCGTTTATACTGTTATACTAACTGAGACTTGTCACAGCTATTACATAGACTATTTGTTGATTTTGATTGCTTCTGTTGTCCATATGGGTCCCCTATCAATATACCCCGTGAATTTCTCTCATTTACACTACAAACCTGGTTTTTAATAATGCACACGAAACTCATTTTTACTAGGTTAATTTTTTTTCGCGATATGGCCAAATCTGGCAACACTGTGCTCCGTGTTCATGGCATTGTGAATGTGCTTGCGGCAGCGGTGGTGCCGGAAGGGGGAGCTGCGAATCCGTCCCCGCCTTCACGCCACAGGACAGCCCGGGGTCTAGCGCTGTCACATCAGGCCTACTTCCGTCAGCTCTATCGCAAACATTATTGTTCAAAAATAACATTTTCAGCCATCCAAGCCGTCCAAGCAGCACGTTTGTGTATTTTTCAATACGGTAGGACATGTTTGCAACCGGCCGCAGCGGGGTTTAAACCGTTTCATTTATATGAGTAGCATAATAAGCACACGGCACGACATAAATCGCACTTAAATATTGACAAATGTGTTTGAGTGCAGAAATAACGAGATATAGCAAAGTAAACGGACTTTACATGTGCACGGCCAGCTTTAGTGGGGTTTTTGTTTTTTGAACGGCGTGTTTTGGCGGAAATTGCTTTGGGTTTTATTTAAGGTAGCATGGGACGATTAGCACGCGAGCTCACGTTAGCTACACAACTGCGCGCGCGTTGCCACATTTACTGCGGGAATAATGACTAATATCGCATAGCGGCGTGTCATACATGTATTTAGTATCTTAATGCAGGTCCTTGCACCTTTTGGGGGGTTTTTAAGTTTCATTTAACAAAGGTTAGCGAGTTAGCATTGATGCTAGCATATTTTCGAGGCAAAAGCATTGAGTGGTCCAGTATGTGATTGACCATAAGCGAAGCTGGCCTACAGTCACATACAATTATAATTATTTCTTATGTGTATTAATTCAAAAATGTCATATTTGATCATTCAGACTGAGGTTGGATTTGAGAGCAACCTCAAAGCAACTCGTTTGTTTTGCTCGAGGGGTCCAAAGTCCAGCAAGGGTAGAAGCAGTTTCTGTCTGAATGCTTTAAACACAAGAGCTCTTCATCGTTACCAAATCACATGAAACACCTTTAGCCTCCAGTTTATACAATTTAATCTAAACTGCAAAAGGATGCATGCAGATTTCATAGGTTTATTGTTGGATGGGGTGCTGATGCACTATTAAAAAATGTAATCACATCTGCATTGTGCAGAGAGTGTATTGAATGCTTCATATGCCAATGTAGACATAGCAGTGATGAAAAATACCTTATTACTGTTTTTCAGGCACACTATCCTCAAGCGCCTTTAAGCTTTTGGTTATGTGTATGTATATGGCTGATTGTATGTTAATAATTTATATAAACATAAATTACCTGTCATTAATAGAATAATAGTGACATATTTGTCTATGGACCCGTTTCACACACTGCAATTACATGTTTACGCAGTTATTAACTTTGTAAATATAGCAAGCTTAAATATACATAATTTTTAAAAATGTAATCTACATTTATAAAATTATACTGCTTGCTATATTACCTTGACATTACCAAAAATCTGGTTAACGCTTTTGCTTGTGTTTTTACTGAGTGAAATCAAGTTTCTCTTCTGACCATCATAATCAGTCTCTCTCTATATTTTTTCTCTCTTTCTTTATAATATTTTTTACATTTTATATCATAAACCTATTGTGGATATTTTCTGGTGATATCAGATCAAACGGGATTCTATTTCTTGTGGTTTCTGTTCATCAACGATAAGACTTCTGAGGACCCCCGAAATGTGAAAAGGGTCCATATAACAAATTTT